TTTGTTATCTCCGTTAAGCAGGAGTCCAGTGGTGCAAAAAGCCAGTCCGAAGAATCAAGTTAAAAGAGGGACCTCAGGTTCAAGTACTTTTCGAGGATCTTTAAGTCTGTCTTCTTTATCGTCAGGTACTTCTCTCAATCAAATCTAAAATTTTTGTGGCTCTCCAGCACCTGGCGATGAATCAAGTTGATCCTCCTGTTCTGTCCTTTCCCGGTTCTTATATCCTGGATCTCAGGCGGCATGAGAGCGATTCTTTATAGGCCGTTGGCTTCGTCTGCTTCAATTTCCCGCAAGAAGCTTGCTCTCATTTTCAAGATAGTGCCTGCTCGAGCTGAGGTGCGCATGCACAAAAGGGCTATTATGTTGTGCTGGATTTTTCTGAGTTGCACTGCGTCTACATTTTGTTCCTCCAGCTCCGTTTCTAGATAGTGAGTGACATTTTCTCTAAGTGCACTCAGCTCCTTCATTGTTGGCAGTGAGTTTCCCTCCGCGTAATTATAGAGATGTTTTCTACCTTTTGCAGACTTATTCAGTAGGTTTTTTCGATCTCTTATCTCTTGTAACAAGATGTCGAACTCGACAACTTGTTGTTTGCGGCCGTACTTAACGAGAAGAAGTTCTGCAAACTTCTGCAGATCAGTCATTAGATTTTGCTTAGCTTTAGCAGTTTTGACTGGTCTTGCTATGCTTTCGTATGAGTGTACCCAAACTGCTATTTTGCTCATGTCTTTAAAGCCTTCACTTAGTACGAGGCATTCCCGGATTCGCTGCAGTTTTGTAGTTATATTCTCCTGAGTGAAAAGTGACCCTTCATTATGCTTGAACTCATGTAGTTTTTGTTCTTTAAATTCTCGCAGACTACTGTCGAAATTGATGGGTCCTCTTATCACGTCATCGTTTCCTGTTTCTTTCGGATGTCCAGAGAGTGGCTTCAATTGCTTCCCGAGGATCACTGATACATCCGCCAAGGTTCTTACTACTGTCCGGTTTTTTCTGTGTTCTTGGTGGCGCCAGCTCTGAGAAAAAACGTGGAGACAGTCTGGTAGTGAGCAGACGTACCGTTTCTCATTCGTTGAGTTCACTGCGTTCCTATTCTGCAGTAAGGTAATTTTTTGAATAACATTCAGTTCTAGACCACAGAACTGGTGCTCCTGCATATAGTGACGGCGCAAATGATGGTCTCGACTGAAGTTTATTTGATGGCATAGCTGGCAGGAAAATAGTCCCTTTTGTTCCTCAAAACTTGCACTATCTTCAGGTACGGCTACAGCAACTTCATCTTGTTGTGGTTTTTCTCGGGGATACTCTAGTGGGCACCAATTCTCACCACTCATCCCACCTTGCTCCTCGATAATATGCTTCTTGAAAGCCGGGATTTGCGATTTGCAGCGAATGGCATAGCATCCCATACAAATTAGATACTGGTCGTTTCCAGTCAATTTGAAAGAGAATTCGTTCCCAGGAAAGTCTCTTTTCGCAGGAAAACATATGAGGCTTTATTTCCTCGGGGCACGACAATGGAAAGTCACATGAAAAGCAGTGCCATTCTTTTGCTTTCCGGGTGAAAACGAACGGGTCTGATATTTTTGATGTTGTTTCCTTCTGTTTAGATCTCTTCTCCAGTATCTTTTCCACAGTCTTTAATCGCGTTGTGAGGTAGAGCGGCTTTTCTTCGGCTTTTTCATCTGCAATAATGGGCTCATCCTCCTCTGGCTCTCCATCACTACTGTCTTCACTGTTGAACCCGAAGCTGGCTGCGAGACTCAGCTCGGTGTTTGGTCTTTTGATCAATGGTGGCGGTAACATTGATCACTTCTTCCTCACTTCCACTCGTCTCCAAAACTGGGGTATGTACAATTTGAGATCCGCTCGCTTTTTGCCTTTCTTCGACTTCCAAATTTGAAAAGGTCTAAAATTTGAAAAAAAAAAACTGGAGTAAAAAGTTACCAATTATGAGGCTAATATACAAGCATTTGAAAAAGTTTAAAATACATTTTTTGACGTGAAGACGAATTTTCAATGAAAAACTTAACCTTAATCAAAAAATAATCTACATAGCACCTATCTTATGGATGAAAATTTTTCTCAAAATTCATTCGGGTTTTTAAGATCTGGCTCAATGTATTTACACTTTTTTTTGGAAAAACGCAGTTTTTTACTAGTTTTTAATTTATAACTTTTTTTTCACTCGCTAAATTTCCCTAACTTTTTCTTTAAAAAAGTAAGCTTGATGTGTTGCGTTTAGAAAGTATCACTTCACTTTCTGAAACAGACTGTCAGTATCTAAAAATTTCCTTTTTCTTAAAAAACAATTGACCCATTTTTAGTCATTTTTTTTCAACCTCTGATAGCGATGAAAACAAATTTTTCGGTAAGAAAATGAGCTTTTCTCGAAAATCTACGGAAGAATCAGCTCTTGTCCTATTTGTGAGTCACTTTTTAAAAACATTTTGAGATCAAATTTCAAATGCGTTGTTGAGATCTGGCTCCCTGTAGGTGCACTTTTTTGAAAAAACGCAGTTTTTTACTAGTTTTTCCTTTATAACTTTTTTTACTCGCTAAATTTCTTTAATTCTTTTCTTTGAAAAATTGGGCTGGATGTTTTACGTTCAGGAAATATCACTTCGTTTTCTCAAAAAAAAAGACTGAAACTATTAAAAATTTTCGTTTTTTTTTAAATGACCCCTTTTTGGTCATTTTTTTCACCCTCTGATAGCGATGAAAAACAATTTTTCGGTACGAATGTGAGTTTTTATCGAAACATTATTGAAGAATCCTGTAACAGAAAACTATTTTAAATATTCTTATTATTACTTTTTTGCATGTTGGAGGACTAATAGCGAGTTTTCTTAAGCTATCTGTTTTTTTTTGTAAATTTTTGGGAGCACTAATTTTTTTTTCTTTAATTTTGCTCTTTAAACTTTTAAATCCTTGCTCTTTAAACAATTGACCTTTGCTATGGTAACATGATATCAAAAAATCATTAATTTTTTGCAAATAGTTTTCAAGTTATATTTCTTCAAATTTTGCCAAAAAATTGACACATTTCGAAAAGCGTCCATTTTGCTACAATTTTGAGGACCTGTAACTTTTTCCTCTTTTTATATTAATTTTTTTAAACTGTGTCATAGTGGAGAAAAATTTGTGACTAATCGTTGTCATCATAATCTTCAGGATATCTCAAGTGGTCTTCGAGTTAGAGGTCCTCAAAAAACGCGAAAAAAATCAGTAAAAATTGTAAACTTATTTTGCAGCAACTTTGAGGACCTCTAACTTTTTTTCTAATTTTCGAATATTGCTCAAACTTGGTCATTCTGTTGTCATGCAGTTGGGTAAGCTTTGTCATCAAAAGTATGATGTTTTTTTCTTTTTTTCATGAGTTACAGATCCTCAAATTTTGCCAAAAATTGAACAAGCTACTATAGTGCTGAATTAAACACAGAGGCAAAGCTGAGCTTCGCAAACACTAGCGCGAACACGACAAAAAAGCAGCTCTATGAAGTGCAATATGAAACAGAAGATATAAGCCTCGAAGTAGTAAAAATTCGGTTACGTCTCGGATTCGATCTGCGACATAGAGATAATGAGTCTCACACACTAATTAAATCAAAAATACTAGCCACAAATAAAGCAGAAAACAGATGCTACGAAATTTCCAATGCTACAGATTGTGATTACATCAAGTGCCACCAAATAAGTGAACACTTTTAATGAACACTGATATTTGCGAGTTGGATTGGAAAAAAAGAAGTTCGTACTAAAACAACTACGCTCGCATTCCCACTTGTGTAAACAACCAGATAAAATAAACTGTAACTGAAATTCAAAATCGTTTTTTTTTCAATTTCGAGGACAAAAATTGCCTAGAGTGTTCCCAGTTTTTTTGACATGCAATTTGCAAAATTTTGAAACAAAATTAAACGCTTAAAACTAGTCAATTCAATTGGTTCAAAATCAAGGAAGTAAACGGTCAATTGTAGTTATTCTCAAACCAATTAATTGTTACATCTTAATTTCTTAAGCCGGTTATTTTAATTCAGCACTATAGTAGCTTGTTCAGCATAAAATGCAGTGAAAATTCATTCAACCGCAAAATATGCGTGAAAAAAAAATCCCATTGAATGAACTATATCATCAAAATTTGGCAAATTTTTGCTGCCCACTGCAGAAAAATCTTTTCTTTAACAACCCAAAAATTTACGAAACAGCAGAAAAATTATAAAAAACGTGTTTTCAAAAGACCCTGTACACAATATAGGCGTAGCCGATAAAAAATGAGCCGAAACCGTTCAACAGACGAAAAACAGACTCAAAATCTGACTAGGTAAATTAAAAAATTAAAGAAACTTCAATTACATTTAATATTTTTTAAACAAAAAGCCATGTTCTGGAATATAAGCCATTAAAACGTGATAGATTATATATGATTGGCATTTAAAGAACGGAAAAATAACCGACCGAAACTAGTACGAAAACCAGTACTTCGCTCTTGGTTGGAGGGGTCCCAGTGTCATCTGCCTCCTCAAGGTGGGACCGGCTACGGCGAAATGGATTAAACCCCCTCCCCCGCTGTTGGCCTTGCAATGAGTAGGACCGGGGCAAATAAAAGAAGTATGGAAACCACGAATCCGAAAAAAATTCCCAACAATTATTCAAGAAAATTTTTTTGTATAAAAATTAGTGCCGGAAACGAACTCCACCCAATTATTACCTAACTTAAATGATGGAAATTTATTTAAATTTTCAAGTACTAGAGCACGAACTATTTCTGCTAAATTGTCTATTATGTGAACAAACTTATTTACGGGGGAAAAGTCTCATACCTGGTTGCAACACCCCTGCTGATCGCAAGGAAAATAATATTGGAAAAACTTTAATATAAGGGAAAAATACAGATCAGTGGTTTGATATGCTCTCACGCGCTTACTATCTGCAGAAATACTTCAAATATTAATTAGAAACATAACTTCTAAAATTCGTGCAATTTCGACAAAAATTACCCACGAGCCCTCGCAGTACAGGATCCTTGTCCACTTTGGCATTGACAAACATGACATCTTTGTAATCCTCTTCGACCATCAATCTATCTCTTACCAATGACTTCTGAGTTTTACTCAAATCTGCCAAATCACTCTTGCAAAGCAACAAAATTCTCGGCTTGATTCCAATGCGATGCTTGAAGGTTTTGTTACGACCCGTGAACGGAATTCGGGCGTCGTGAACTTCGAACAGACAGTCAACATATTTCAGCACTTGTTGCATTTTGTTCATGCCTCGCATCATGTGACCGGGAAACCAGGACAGTTTGTCGGCTGTCGGAAACGCGAACGTTTTCCGGAAACAACTTGAGGTCATTTCAATCTCAAAATATCATAACTATTCTGAAAACGATAGCCTGACTAAAGATATGTATGATAACCCGGCTCGAGACACATATGAGTTGCCACAATGTCAGTTGTTTAAAAAAATCCCTTTAAAGCCAATGAACAACATTTGGAATTTTGAATAATTTCAGACAGCAGAAATGAAGATCAGTTGACTGTTCCCAAAAAGGAATGCTCAGCTGTAGATGAATAGGTGGAAGATATCCTGAAAATTATTTGCGAATATTTTCGAATAAAGACGGAAGAATCGTTAAACAAAGTGAGGAAATATTGAAATTAAAAAATTAAAAAGTGACTGAACTAGAACACCGGATATCAGAGAAGGAACGATTTAGCTCGACAGACATCATTATAGAGAACGTTGATTTGAACTGAGCCTTAATAATTTCTGGATATTTTCCCAGCATAAACTAGGGAACAAAACTAAACTATTTGTGGGGATATCAAAGAACGTTTTACCTATTGTAAAATTATAAGATGCACAATATTGAAGATTTTTCAGTCACAAAAGCTAAAAAACCACGGATTACGAATGTCATTAAAAAGAAACTGCATAAGCATACATATATAAGCAGCTACGAAGGAACCATTCAAATTAATGTTTGACTAATAATTACACCGTTAAATCACAAACCAGCAATATCCCAAAAAGCAAAAAACCGTTAAATGACAAAACCTCAACACCAACTAATATGGGAGCAAAGTAAGCTGGGTCGAAAATGGAAGATATTTAATTTCTTTTTTTTTAAATTCACAGATGAAGCTGCTCAACCAAAAATCAAAGTTTATTATGAATGCTAATAAAATGAACGAAAGTTGCGGTCAACTGATGAACACCTAGGAGCTAATTTCGCCAATTAAACTAGTCCAATTATTCCGGCTCTAACATTAAAAAAATAGAAGCAAGCCTATACATCTTGCTTAGGCTTACAATTCTATTTCTAAATTACTCAATAAAACATCTGCAGAACCAAACAGGCGCGGCTCCTTAAAAAAGTTTAAGGTCCGTCAGCCAAAAATGGATATCTCAAAATAGTACAAAGGTGGGACCCTTTGCGACGGCAGGGGGTTTTAATCCCTGAGGAGGAGAGGGCGTCCCCCCCCCCCCTAAATCCGCAACTGGGACCAAATAATATATCAAATATTGTAATAAAAATAACGGAAACTGTGATTTTAATGCATCTGATAGGGCCTTTTCATAGGTCCATCAAAATGGCCCAAAACCCCTGCCTATGTAAAATTTCTGAGATAATGGCACTTGAAAACGCAGAGACCAAGAAAAGATATGCACCGCTTGCAATAAATCGCAAACATCGTGGCGGGCCAGCCAATAAAATTGGGACGGAAGTCACATCGACAAAAACAATTTTATATTGCTTATACCAATTTTTTCAAATCACGATTTGAATCATTTGGAGCATATGTTAAGAAGGACAATTGCAGGCGTTAACCTGGCATTAGAACGTTTAAAGCTCAAAATAAATCAGAAATGGAGCCGAAAAACATTATCTTAAAAAAAATCTGCGTATAACAAGTTTCAAGCTGAGAAGTCCCTTCAACATGAAAGAAGCTTCTTGCACATTAAATTTAACAACGGCTAAATTAAAGAGCTCAAATCTTTGACGCAATCTCTGGATCTACAATCCAGCGATTCATATCATGTGCAACATTGCCAGCTTGCAAATATAAAGTAAGACAGAAATAACATTACCGAAAAAATTATAGAAGTCAGAAAAAAATAAAAGTCAGAAAAAAAAATAAAAGTCAGAAAAAGAGTCAAGAAATACAACCAGTATGGAAAGTCTTTAACTTTTTATCGATTTACCGCTAAGCCATTGCTGCGTTAATTGAGCCAAACAGCTGCTCTAAGCCGCCCATTGAGACGGAAACAAAAAAAAAACATGAAAAAATTGTTGACAAGAAATTTTTTTGAGCATTTGAGACAAACTAGCTGATTTTTTATCAATCTTTTTTTGCCCTTGCAGCGACACAAATCAAATTAACTAATCCGATAAAAAATAAGCCAAACACATTTAGGCCGAATGAAGCTTCCAAGCGAAACAAAAAGAAAAAATACGATGTCAGGGCTATTAATTTTTATTTCATTTTTAGGAATACATCAAAAATACTTGCAACTACGACCCAAATTGCTGACCGCACAAAAAAATTCTACAATGTGGCAACTAGGACGACAAAGCATAAGCAGTAAAAAAAAATCTGACAACTCAATGTTTCCCGAAACTATTTTCATCTTTTCATACAAACTGAAAAAAACAAGGTCCGGCAAAAAGTCGAACCCGACATTAGGGAACAGAGACAACCGTGTTACCTCTAGACCAAGCAGTCTGAAGTATCTAAGATTCAATTACAAAGTAAAGGTCAAATTCAAATTCAGATGTAAGAAAAGTTGAAAAAACGGAAAAAGTATAGTTTCCGATTACCAGACACTTGCTTTCGCTTTAAAAAAAAATTGGGAAAAAATGAAAATAAATTCAGACAGAGAAGCGAATTGGAGCTTAGTAACATTACAAGATATTGAATAGAAATAAGCAGCAATTCATTTTTTTCAAAAAATCAAGCTGCAAAAATTACTTGAAAAAAGTCGATAAAACTACATCAACAAAAATTTAATACCTTCGTCTCGGATGATGTTCATAAACAGCCTTAACAAAGTATGAGAATCAATGACCAAGCCAAAACTAAAGCAAAAACTTGGGTCGACCAAACGTGCCAAAAACGAGCACAATTTCAAAAACAACACGTTCAAGCCGATTACTTTAGCCATCAACAAGCCAGGTATAGCCACCAATAAGCCATAAAGCCATCAATAAGCCAGGTACAAAATATAACGCTATGGAACAAAAAATGACCAGTTGAAAAAAAAAACTCCATTTGTGTAAAAATCAAAACTTTACGACCCATCCATACTTAAACAGGCAAACATTTTTAAAAAAGCCTTTAAAAGTACGCATCAAATTTTACTAAGCCGATATAACACGAGCCGAACCCGTTGAACTAAAGCTCAAAAAAAAATTTGATTTGGTAAATTTATAAATTAGAGCAAATAAGCAAAAACTGTTTGAACTAAAAACAAAAAATATTGCAGCAAAAAAAAATAGGCAATCATAAATAAGCTAAAAAATTTACTTGAAAAAAAAAACCTGAGTCGAAAAAACATCATCTATAAAAAAAACTATTAGCTTTGTTTCGGATGATGTACATAAAAAACCCTAGCAAGCATTAGGAATCAATGACCGAGTGGCAACTAAGGCGACAAAGATTGTGTCGACCATCGGCAAGTCGAAAAAGAAACAGTAGTCATAAAACATTTAGAACATTCAGATTTTAAAGCTCAAAAAATTTACAACCTTTTCCTCCCGAACACTCAAAAGCGTTAACAAATTCACCATGAACACAAGCAATATGATTTCACTAAACCGATATAATATAAGCTGACCTGGTTAACCGAAAATAATGAAAACAATTATTCAATATCAGAAATGGTAAGTTTACGAAGAACAGAACAATTTTCAATTAATGATAGTAAAAACTGGTTGAATGAAAAAACCCGAGCATTAGTAAGACTGCTTGAAAAGCGTACAACATAAAAAATTCGTTTGAAAAAAAAGGAAAATCAGCCGGCAGAAATTAGAACAAAAACCAATCCGAAAAAATAAATTTTCTAAAATTATGTATGAAGTAGTTTCTTTTAAACTTTAAAAAACTTGAGCATGTTAGCTTGTGCGTAGAAAAAAATACAGGCAATTAGTGCAGTAACTTTCACGTGAAGTTTATGCTAGAAAAAAATTTCATGGGAAAACAACCACCAGTAAAAAACAAGCTTTTGATATTTACCAAGCCGCCACTAAGCCGAGAAAAAGTGAGTAGACGTCACGAATACAAACTACCCAAACTTTCAAACAAAATTCAACCATATTTTGCGTTTGAAGCGACACAACATGAGGTAACTCAGCCAAAATCAAATCCCAATAAGGCTTTCATTCGAAAAAAAAATTGAAGAACAAGGAAAATATGTTAGAGCTTGTAATTTTCCAAATTAAATAAGTAAATCGAAAAAAATTATATCTATGATTAAAATTGCTGAACGCACAAAAATCGAAAAACCTCATATGTTGCAACTGAGCCGACAAAACATAATCAGACAAATGAATGTCCGACTATTCAATTTCTCCCGGAAAAAATTTCAATTTCTTGCATAGCGAAAAAAAAGGTCCGGCTGAGATTTGAACCTGACATTAGGCTTAGGGTGCAGAGGCAACCGCGTTACCTCTAGGCGCATTGGAAGACATATATCAACTTCACAAATTCTTACGCATCAGTAAGAAATACTGTTTACGAGATAAAAAAATGTCTAGTTCCCGATTAAAAACACATGCTCTCGCAAGTATAAAATAACTCGGAAGGCTAAAATATACAAGAAAGAAAGTTTTTCCAATGATTGATTTCTTCATGGAGCGTCAATTCGGCTTCAAAATAGGCAAATCAGAACCGATGCATTGGCTCTTCTGATGAATCAACTTCAGGGTCCAATGGCTATAGCTACGAAACCGGCGTTTTGTTTTTATAGATCTCAGAATTTTTTGATGCAGTCAACAACAAGTAATTGTTCAGGAATTTCGAACGCTATGATGTGCGTGGTTTACAACTTGATCTACTGATAAGCTATTTAACTCGCTGAATTCAGCTTAATCTTCAGTTAAATGAGATTTCGTTTTGCAGATGTTAAGTATCTGGTAACTTCTTAATGTGAATAATGAAATGAAAAAAAAAACTATGATTCAAAAAAATTACGATTCAAAAATATGAAACAAAAAAGCATGCGAGCAGGTTTGATTTACAAAAAATTAGGACTATTTATATCATGAATGCAAATTCATATTTTATCAAAATATTGAAATATATTGTATAATATTAGATACGTATTTTATCGCAAGGATCTTCTTAATCGCTATTATATTGTCACAAAACCAAT